TGTTTGGTGTGTGCAATCTTGGGCAATCTGGTAGCATTCTTGGGCGGTTCGTGGCTTGCCTCGGATGCTGAATATCCCCCATGGGGTGGGAAATTTGATTACTTGATAGAAACTTGATGGGACGGCTCACATGGCGTGTATCCATGGACGTCTTATAATGGCATTGTAGGTTGTTTCCTGGTTCATGACGTGGAATGTCGTTTCCAGGGTGACCCCTCCTGCCAGGACGGGTAGCACGATTTCTCCAGATGTTCGCTCCACTGCATTATTAAAACCCATTAGTGTTATGTAACACGATATTATTTTATCCTCAAGCCTCAACTGTATGAGAACTCGTGGGTGAAAAATACACGCGCCGCTTCATTCATCCACCATTATTATTTTTACATCTGCATATACGATGCATAAAGTTATAACTAAAGCATCATAATGAGGGAAAGACAAACCATTGGTATCTGACTTATCCAAGATGATATTGTCTTCGAGGTCGTCATACCGTTCGTGGGAGACTGTCCGTTTGAGTTTATGTGTGGTGGTGAATTTCACATGGTTAATTACCGTGTTGTTGCTGCCGCCAATGATCATTTGTATGGTACGAGCTGGTGATGGTGGTTTTGGGGGTCCTTGAGGTTGATTGCGCCCTCGAGCAAAGTTGGCCCCTCCTCTGTTGCTCGGCAGTTCTTTCAGGTATCCCTGGTTTAGCATTTTTACTACTTCTTGTCGCAGACCTATGGAGTCCTCGGTCTTGTGTCCTTTTTCCTTGTGGAATTCACACAGGACATTTGACCTCCTTGTGCTCGGATCTGAATTTATCTTTTGCGGCCACTGCACCTTTGTGCCGAACTTTTCCAGTGCGTACACTATTTCTGAAAGGAAACACAAAATTTATGAGCAGATAGAAGTGGAGGCATACCTCTTTCGTTTCGAGGGAGGGGGTGCGGTATGTCGAGGTGTGGCATCTGCATGTCGTGGAGGGGGAGGATTGGATGTTCGGATATAAGGCTGGTGTCTTTCTCGATTGAAACATGGTAGTTGATCCCTTCGCCCGTCATGGCGACAATCTCTCCTTGTCTCGGTCTGGACTAATGTTAATCGCTGAAGCGGGCCATTCAGGTCGTCCTCATCTGCCTTCACTTCAACGCAATAGGCATTGTGGATCTTTTCCCACGTGGTAGGGGGGTACTTCATGAGTCTACTGAGTAGCTTTTTGGTTGCTTTTGACCCGTTTCTGTTTAGCCCATTTTGAAAGGATGCTACTGCCATCCCTTCTGACACGTTTGGTAGGCTCATCCTTACTCTGTTGAATCAGGCTAGGAAATCCCGAAGTCCTTCGCCCGTCGTTTGCGTGACGGCGAAGATATCATTGACCCTAGCCTCTGCCTTTTTCGCTCCCGCATGCGTGGTGACGAACTTATCTGCCATCTCTTCGAACGTTGATATCGATCGTGCTGGTAGTTGGGAATACCATGTCAGCGCTCCCGCTGTTAGAGTTTCACCAAACTTTTTTAGCAGTACATACGCCACACGTTCCTTTAATAAATCGTTACCCTGTACTGCGGTAACATAATAGATTAGGTGATCTTCCGGGTCCATGGTACCATCATATATTTTCAAATATGGTGGTATTTTGAAGATCTTTGGAATAGAATGGGGAGCTGCCCTTTCACTATATGGCTGTTCGACGAATCGGCCCACATCGCATTTTGGTAACAGCTTCGTAGCGCCTGGTATTTTATCGTCCCTTTCCTGGTGTTCCTTCATTTGGTCGTGGAGTGTTTTGTTCTCATTTTCCATCTCTTTCATTTTCTTTAAGATGGTCGTAAGTGCATCGTCACCTGCATCAGTAACAGTACGAGTGTTACCTGTTCGTGTAGCGTTTGGCTCATCAGCAACAACATCGGTTTCTGTGGGTAGCGCGTCTTCGATACCTCTCTGAACGGGTTTCTCGAGCATGTTGCTCAAGGCACTCGTTAACCATTCTTCTAGTAGACTCTTGACAGCCGGTGGCACTTCTCCTACTGCGGATGTTGAAGTCTCCCTCTCGCGCAAGATCGTTAGATCCCCGTGCGGAGGAGGTGAGATCTCTCCCTCAGGTGTAACACTTGGTGTTGCATTTTCATTATCTTCTCCACTGGCCTCGTTGAGCGAATTAAGGAGGTTGTTTGTGACACCCACTATGGCCTTTAGCCTCGCTTCTCCCTTTCCCGCCATTGTTGGCTTTTATGAAGCCGAAGAAAAGTGATTGTTTCTTTCAAGAATCTAGATGAAAACTACGATTTCAGTTATAGAAATCCCCACAGACGGCGCCAAATTGTTTGACTCAAAAGATATTAAAACCTTTTTGAACAAATAAATCAAAGATGAAGGGGTAAATCTTAGCAGAGAATAATAATCTCTAGAAAGAGCGATAGATAGAGAAGATGGATCACGAGATTTCTTTTTATTCATAAATAGTAATGTAGCCAGAATTCGGAATCTCCCTCTGCAAGGATATTACCCTCTATATATATAAAGAGCGAGAATCTTCTAAGCAGTAAAAGATAAATTACAAGGAATTATTCGAAGGAATATTCCCAATGTCCCCTAATGGGCATGCATTATTACAAGGGTCATCCATTCTCTGGTTTGTCTCAGGGTCATCTCCCTCAGGACGCCAATTCAAGGAGGCTCCGTCAGTCATCGTACTCGTCGTCGGTCGTGGTTAGTCAAATTTGGACTCATACAATAACTTTGCTACTTTTACCTAACAAAACATAGACTAAATCCTCCTTTTTAATATTTCCCCCCTATTGCATGTGGCCATAAATTAAGGAGCATATTCATTGATGCATTTTGATCTTGTTAGGGCTCTCATTCAAGTGTTCTGTAGCTACGTCTCTTCCACTATATGCCTTGGTTACTCAGGTATCCTCTTCCCTCTCTCCTAGATTAATTGTTCGTAATTTACTCTTTTGGTATCAACCACCTTAATTCCGTTAAAGAAATATTGTTCAATATATCTTGAAACGAATATATGTAGCATTTCTCATACACTTTCCACTTCTCAATACTGCAACTTTTAATCTATGTCCCTTTGAACAATGACTCAATCAGGATATAATAATATATGCATATATATATATTGACAATGTAAAAATTCATTACATTATATGCGTAATTTAACATGTGACATGTTAGTTACTAATTTTATTAGGTTGTTATTATAAGTGATCTAAATGTATAAATATCATTTACACTGCCCATATATAAAACCTAAACTCATCCAATTAACTATTAAAGGGTGACTCATCTTTCATATAATCAAGAGGAAAGTGTTAGGTTTTGCCCTGAATTTCTAGTCTATTAGGACTCTCTTTCTTGAAAGAAGGGAAAAATACTCCTTAAAAATAAATCTCCTTCGTATGACTCTATCATTTTCTTGAAGGAAAAGTCTTGGACATCTATAATTGAGGATCTCTACTTCTTACAATAACAACAATAATATAGTCTTGTTTATGGGCAGATTTTTCTCTCAATAATTTTTATGCTTTTATACTAATTTTAATATGTAGGTCAATTAACCAAACTCCATTATAATATTCTCTTTTAGTATAAATCTTTTGTCGTCAGCTTTGCATGTTATTTCGATCCCAACAGAAGGTTACATATATTACGGAAAAAAAATCATGAATACATTTCATTAATTATTGGAAATGTTTGCAGATGGGATCAACAATGAAACCGGTTATCTTTGGTGACAATGTGGCATCCCCTATAAGAACATGGCACCAGACGGCAAAGCTGCGGCCGAAGAGCGGCCGGCCATCAGGAAATGTGAGTCCCCTCACAAGCAGGCCAGCTACACCATTGCATGGAGGTTCCTCCCCTGTTCACCTAAAGCAATATGGCTACCAGAAAAATATTGCCCAATATTATCCTCCCGTTGAACCATCTCCCCGTCGGAGGATTGAGGCTAATCAAGAAATTAGCTCCAGGCAAAGCTTTGATCATGGCAGTGAACCTGACATTGAGCTCAGCTTGAGTGATTTCTCACTCGTCAACAAAATCAATTAAACTAGTTTTTGGGTTCGATGTTCTTATAAGCTTTAGCAGAAGTAGCATGTTCAAAACTATTACTGTGTATAGACAAAATTACATAATGACATGATTTACGTTATTTGCTGTTGTTATTATTTGCAGTAATTGAAAAACTTTTAGGTTTGTATTATTTTAAGTTAACACTAAGCTATGAAGCGCGAATTACTGTTAAACACCAAATTTGGTTAGACGGTTAGAAAAATAAATAAATAGTATGGAGCATAGGATTTAGTTTGAGGTGTATCAAGGACACTATTCTTAAGGATATCTCACCCTTAAGGGTATCTCACCCACACAGTGAATAGAATAAGATATTTCACCTGCACAATAAATAGAATATCTCACGGTGATAGGGTTACAAATACTTTAGCTTTATGTTTTGATGATCTAACAGATTTACTGTCGAAAAATCAGATAAGGAACCTAACACACTTGGTTCACAACTCAAATCAACGGACTTCAGCTTATGAGAGTTGCTATGACTTCAGAAGATGGAGAATCAACACATGACCTGATACCTTGTGTTTTCCACTACAAAAATAAAGTGTTATTGTGGCCGTTTTTTATGTATATTGCGGCGGTTTTGAGCCGCCACTATGTAGGCTAACGGCGGTTTCCAACAACGCCATAATTACGTGCGCCAAAAAGTTATTGCGGCAATTTTTCGAAAGGCGCCACAATTGTGAAAGTGAATTAACGACGGTTCGGTTTTACTTAATACGGCGAGTCATAACCGCCAGAATTGGATTATGTTACCGTAATTCAAACTAATTAATATGGCAGTTTTGAACCGCCACAATCCCCCTTTTTGTTGTAGGCTATAATTTTTGTTCATTCACATTTATTATGTTCTACTACTTTTGACACCCTGCCTAATGGATTGGTTTACAATAATTTTGAAACAAACATAAAAAAATATTGAATAATTAAATCACATTTTATATATAAAAATGTAAGTATTCTAGAAATACATCATAAACTGTATTAAATTTTAAGTAGTATTTTACATTCACTCAATACAAGAAAAATAACTACAATAGATCCTAGAAAATTATGTTCAACGAGCTACTTGCATGAATCTGTGGAGTAGTGTTACTTCCATTTAGTGATCCTTTCTGATTGTTAGGCGATACAACATATTTCTTATATTCTGTGGCTACAAAATAAAATGAAGCAAGAAATAACCAAAATTCAATCATTATGTACGAAATATAAATATTCAAAATTGAAAGCATGTCAAAAGGTCATGGTACAAACTAATATATTCACATTTCTTAAACTGCTGAATAGGTTGTAGGTGGCAGATATAACCTGCAGAATCTTTAGTTAACTCCTATAAACATTCAAGATAAGGATCCAGAGAAAAAAGAAGAACAGAGTTACCTGCACAAATCAGAAAAGTGGAATGCATCATTAACATGTAAAAGAAGAAGAAAAAACAAGACCCTTCCAACATTCCCTGCCCTTATTTCCTTTTTCTTTTTCTATGCCAACATATAATATCACTCGTGTATGAGACATTCGAGCTTATACCATGTATATGTTGACCAGTGGAATATTAGCTTGTCTTAGTTTACCTTACAAGTATCCAAAAGCAAGTGCCGTAGTCATATCTAACTATCATACTTTTTACCATGTTTGTCAAACAGGAAATGATTTCATACACAAAAATTTACAAATTGAATATATGCTAATATAATTTTCTTTGAAGAGTATGATTATGCTAGTTTATCTATAGTCATACAACACAGACTCCCTAACTAATCGACCAAGAAAGCAGTTTAATGTAAAGAATATCGGTTTACTGAGTGTGAGTGCTAAAGTGGCAGCAGGATCATTAACTTAACATAACTTTTTCCTATTATAAAACATGACACCATATAGCTTATTGTGATTGATGACCTTGTGATTGATGACAAGGTCTAAAGACTTTGCTCAGAAGGCTTTAGACCTCCATGACATTGTGATTGATGACCTTGATGGACTTCCATTGCACTTGAATATAATTATATTTAGTGACCAAGAAAGGGTAGACATCCGTAAAACAAATAGAATTTGAGAGAGTGACAATAGCATATGTAAGTATACGAACTAACTTAAATTATCAACAATTAGCAAACTACAGTAAGTACCTTAAGTTTCATTTTTGAAATGCTAAAGGATAGAAAGCCAAATAATGGAATTAAAATCTATTAAGTTCATTACCCAGTATCGTAAATGCTACTATGACTTTTTTCGATAATGACAAATGTTACTCTAACTTTGTATCTACAAAGTGGTTAAAACAATCTTTGCAGTAGCCTAAATCTAGAACCAACATGAGTGATATAAATACTGCATAAGTACTATACAACGATTAAAAGCTTCAAGCAAGCAAAGAAACTCAACGAATTATCACTATAAAAATAGAGAGCAACAAGAGACAGCAATGTCTTGAGCTAGTTGAGACAAAAGCAAGTACACAAAGAAAATTCTTACCATCAACAGTTTGGAGGCATTGGATGAATTTTCTAGCTCATTTGTTGAAGTTCTTCATTCCTGCACCATGATTGATCCAGTTTAAGTTAGTGATTAATATAAACTCGCAATAGGACAAACATAAATCCCTTTTGCAGTTTCTCCGAAATCACCAAAGAACAGTGAAAATAACAATTGGACCTATTACTCTAAGGACATGTAAATCATACTGCCTGCACTGTGCACAGAAACAGTGCAGTAGAGTTCTGCAGTCACTTCTCATTTGACCTATCAAGTGATTACATCATTCAAGTAATATCATCCATGTTGTATTAACATTAAACATTACAACAAAACATCACTTGAATACTTGAGAAATTATTCAAGCACTCCAACCGTTTTGCCTTCCAAGCATTCAATTCTCAAGTGCATCAAGAACAAAGAACAACACTACTACGGACCAGTTCCTACAACAAGTATTTTGAATGTCCTTAGTTGAGATGTAACTTTGTAATTGTTCTTTATTGTAATTCCTACTTTTCTTATCTAGAAGCGTGATTCAGAAACCCTTTGTAAACCATAAACCTTTAGCGTTTGTGTCGTGACTAGAGTTAGTCATGAGTTGAAGTCTTTATAATAAGTGTATTGCAAAATGGCTTGTAATAGGTATATTACAAGTTAGTGAGGGATTAAGAATTTAATTCCTAAATTGCATAGGTTGTAATCTAAAGTTGCTCATAGTGAAGTTGAAATCCTACCAGTGTAGGTCGTTATTTTTTATCCCCTCGAGCAGGGATTTTTTCACGTAAAAACTCTATGTCCTCTTTACTTACTGTTATATTAGCATTCCCAGTGGAAACTCATATAGGACCTGGTCTCTATATAGTTTGGTGGACTCATATATTCTATCAATTGGTATCAGAGCGGGTTCTTTCTATCAGGTTAATACCCAGAAAGGATCATCATGGCTGCTCTACAAAATTTTGAAGAAGGTCAGTCTATATATGGACCACCCATGTTCAATGGACAATACTATGGGTGGTGGAAGACAAGAATGCATGACTTCATCATGACATTAGATTTTGAGTTGTGGGATGTTATTTGTGATGGTCCTTATGTCCCAACGAAGAAGGTTGGAGACCCCCATATGACGATGCCTAAAACTAGGAAAGAATACAACGACACAGCTATGAAAGTTGTTGAGAAAAATTTCGTGCTAAGAAACTTTTGGTTTGTGGCATAGGACCTGATGAATACAACAGGATCTCAGCCTGTCAATCTGCCAAGGAGATATGGGAAGCTTTGCAAACAGCTCACGAGGGAACCACTCAAGTAAAACAATCTAATATAGACATGCTCACCAATGAGTATTAATTCTTCAAAATGAAGGACGGTGAATCCATTCAAGACATGCACACAATATTCACTTCCATCATAAATGAGTTACACTCGCTTGGTGAAATTATTCCTAGGAACAAGCTCATGAGGAAAATTCTCAGTGTCCTTCCTCGTTCATGGGAGAGTAAGGTAAATGCTAATACTGAAGCAAAGGATTTGCAAGAGTTAACCATAGATGAGATAGTCGGAAATCTGAAAACCTATGAAATGAAGAAGAAGAAGAAGAAGAAGAAGAAGAAGAAGAAGGACAGTAAAAGAAGATCACCAAAGAAGAAAAAGAACCTGGTACTCAAAGTTGAAAGCAATGAGTCAAGTGAGGAGGACAGTGACATGGCTTACTTAACCAAAAGGTTTTAAAAGATGGTCAGAAGAAACAGAGGGATACCAAAAAGAGGCAGTTCCAGCAGACCAAAGAATTATGACCTTTGTCATAAATGTGGAAAGCCAGGGTATTTTATCAAGGATTGCCCTCTTCTGCAGAAAGAACATTTCAAGTACAACCTTGACAAAGCAACAAAGAGGAACCCAGTGTCTGACAAATGCTTTAAAAGAAGGAACGTCGCTGACAATATTGTAAAGCAAGCTCTTGCAGCATGGGGAGATTCCTTAAGTGAGTCTGAAAAAGAAACTGATACAGGTGATAACTCTATGATGGCAGTTGAAGGTGAAGCAAATGAATATGATTCAATATTTTCTTTGATGGCTCAATCATACAATGATGAAGATGATAACAATGATGAGGTAAACTGCAGGGACATTCAGAGAAATCTGAAATCCTACTCTCCTAAAAAACTCATGTCATTAGCAAATGTGTTAATTGATGCATATCATAGTCTTATAGATGATAATGTTGCCTTGACCATAGAGTTAGGAGATGCTGAACAAACTAGAGATGACTTGGTAGTGTATGTGGTTGATCTAAAGGACACAATAAGTGAGCTGGAGAATGAAAAGGTGGTTTTGACTGAAACAATTGTTAGTGTATAACATGAAAGAGACGACTTGATGGTAGTAGTTATTGACCTAAAAGAAACCATTGAAAATCTAAGTAAATAAAAGAATGACTTAGTGGAAAAAATCGATGCCTTAGTGTCACACCTCCTTTTTCCGCCTCTCGCGAGGGGCGTAGGAGTTTTTTCCAATTAAAGGACAATCGAATCGGGATTTGTTTGTTTATTTCAGAGTCGCCACTTGGGATATTTAGGGTGTCCCAAGTCACCAATTTTAATCCCGAATCGAGGAAAAGAATGACTCTGTGTTACAGTCCGCGAACCAGAAATCCGGATAAGGAATTCTGTTAACCCGGGAGAAGGTGTTAGGCATTCCCGAGTTTCGTGGTTATAGCACGGTCGCTCAACTATTATATTTGGCTTGATTATCTGATTTTATACAAATATGAATTTATGTGCAAATTTTAACTTTTTACCGCTTTCATAATTATTATTATTATTTTTACAAGGAATTGCAACGTTGTGAAAATGTATCTCAAACCGCGTCACAATCAATGTACCCGTGGTTGTTGACACATCTCGACTCTGTTGAGATTTGGATTTGGGTCACATAAATGTGCACCCGAGTTAAGGAAAATAAATTATTAAAGGCGCACCTAAAGCAACTAGCGTATTGTTATTTTGGGGAAGGCCGTAAAATTCTCTAAACGACCTGTCCCGAATTTTAAGTATTTTAACNATTCGCTAAACGGCCTGTCCCGAATTCTAAGTATTTTAATATATACATTTAGAGGGCCCCGCAGCTTGTGCATTTTTTGTTTGTCGAGGCTCGTCTCATTCATTATTTTAAAAAGAATTTGCAACGTCATGGAAATGCATCTCAAACCACGTCACAATCAATGTACCCGTGATTAGAGACACATTTCGACTCCGTTGAGATTTGGATTTGGGTCACATAAATGTGCACCCGGGTTTAAGGAAATAAATTATTAAATGCGTGCCTAAAGATACTAACGCGTTATTATTTTGGAGAAAAGCCGTGAAATTTGCTAAGACGGCATATCCCGAAAACTAAGTATTTAACACATATATTTTTGTGAGGGCTCCGCATTCTGTGCGTTTTATTTGGCGAGGCTCGTCTCATTTTTATTTTTTTAAAAAAGGAGAAGGCTAAAATAACTACATTTTTCTACTTTGCGAGGTCATGAACAATTCAACTGATGACACACCTCGATTTCTAAAGGATTAAAATTAATTAAGCGGAGGTCATGGGTTGTAGATTGAACTTATTTGATGTAAAGAGTATTTTTCGTGGAATTAAGCTTACTACCTTAATTTTAAAATTACCACTACATGTATAAGCAACTATTAAGAAGAACTAAATAATTAAAATTTTCAGAATGTGTACAAACACCAATTGTGACAATATTTGGATAATCAACAACCTAAACATGAGGAAACGAATGCCAAATAACTGCTTAGAGTAACCAAACAAAAGAAAAGACATTCACGGCCAAATTTCAATGCCATACGGAGTTAGCCAGAAATAGCAATTCGCAAACATCATGTATATATGTCTCGCTCAATTACCTACGATCCACGTGAGCTAGGATTACATTTCAATATCATATACACATATTACCCAAAAGAAAATACGAAGGATATGGGCAGAGGTGACCTACTTGTGATTAACGTTTGATACGTCGAAACTGCGACGAAACCTCGGACAACAACCTCGACGTACCGAACCTCGACGAACAACGACGACCTCGATGTAAATAGAAAGCTCGAACCAAGACTGTCAGCGACCCGAGATGCTGGCTGCTGCTGTTTTTTTTTCCTTTTCGACGCAGCAAACGGGTACGTGAATATGAAGCAAAAGGGGTCGTTTGGATGTGAGGAAGGAGCAGCTATGGAGGGTC